GCAGCTGCTTGGTGGCCCCTCAGAATCAATTGCTTCCTGCCAAATTCCTGCAGCTCCAGGGGTTGTGTGGCTGCTTCTGCTTGGAGGGGAACCGTGAGCCTTGGTCGTTAGTGCTGTTGGGTGTTGGGGATGTGCTCCCTGTCCGTGTGGGCAGCAGCAGAGCCCTGCGAGGGGCAGGTGTGTGTCCCCTTGGCTTTCTGCTGCCCACGGAGCTGCTTAATTTATTGTAAACTGCTGGGAAATGGGGAGGGAGGAGACTCAGCATTCCTTGGCCTGGGGCCTGGGTGCTGCTCTCCTCTCCTCCCAACAAAGTGCCTTCCCCCTTCGCCCCTTCCCTGGCTCCCTGGGCAATGGGAGACTCCCCTGGAAACTGCTCCTTGGGTAGCTTAGGCATCAGACTAGGATTTAAGGAATACCTTTGAATGTGCTGCTATAGTCTGGGCTGCATCTCCACTCTCCCAAGGTGGGGCTGTGCTGTGTGGATCGTGTGGATCCCAGCTGTATCCTGAGAGGGTGGAAAACTCTGCTGCGCAGTTGAGTTGGAAAAGCAATTCCTGCATTTCTGTGTTGTCGATGTGCCTGTTAGGGGTTCTTTTTATAAAAAGTGTTTAAAAAAAAAAAATGCTGCTGCTTTTCTATGAGAAAAACCATTCCAGAGTGGAATTGTGTCAGCCAGGAGAAGCCAGAGGCTCTGCAGGGATGGGAGGCAGATGCTGCTGCCTGGGGACCTCTGGCCATGCTGCTCTGTGGCTCTCATCCTCCTGTGGGGGATGTGGAAAAGGAGGCAGAAATCTTCCTTTCTGGAGGCCACAGGAATCAGGTGGGGAAAGGTGGAGCTGCTGCTCCCCAGGAGCTGAAGAGCCCTGGAGCTGCTGCCTCCTGCGAGCAGGAGAGCTGGGCCAGAGCCTGGTGAGGGAAAGGTTCTTATGTACACAGGAGTTTTAATTTAAGAGTAAACTGCCTTGGTGTTCACCTGCAAAAGGGTCCTGGAGAACCTCTGAGGTTGCAATAAAGTACTTTGAACAAGATTGAATGGCTCGAGGGTTTCCCTGTGTGATTCCCAGGGCAGAGCTTGGATCTGTGTCCCCTGGTGCTGCTGGGCCCATCCCCTGGGGGATGCCCTGGAGTTTCCCGGGATGGAATGGAGCAAGCAGGACATCCCAGCCCTGTGACAGGTACCCCAGGGACACCTGGAGGCCCCAGGGCAGCTCGTGGGTGGCAGTGGATGAACTGGGAAGCAAACACCTTCCTGCAGGTGAGGTGCCAACCCAGAGCAAACTGGGAGAGTCCCAGGGCTGGTGGCTTTGCTCTGCCACCTGCTGGGGACAGGGACAGGGCAGGACCAGCCCGGACTGACCGACACGGCTCTGCTTTTATTTTCCCATACAGGAACAAGACAAACTCTCCCAGTGCTGGTGGCACCAGGATCCTGGGTGGGCCAGCGGCTCCACGAGCACAGGCAGCTCAGTCCAGCCCTGTGGGCACAGTCTATTCCCAATGCCTGCTCAGAGCAGCAGGATCCAGGCTGGATGTTCCTGCACTGGGCTCCCAGGAGCAGGTCAGGCTGCAGCAGCTTTTCCCTGCTCACTCCATGGGCACAGGCTGCTGCCCCTCCACATCTCGTGTCTTGGAGTTGACGAGCTCCCTGCGGATCTCGGGCGAGATCTGGGGGTGGCTGTGGAATTTGAGGAGCTCCAGCAGAGCTTCCTTCTGCTCCGAGGACAGGTCCTCCTTGTAGCGCTGGGCGAAGGCCAAGAAGCTCTGGTGCCACAGCACGGGCAGCACCCGCTGGTCCCTGCGGAACGCCAGGAAGTGGAAGACGAGAGCGTCCACCACGCGGAACGGCAGCGCGTACTTCTTGTCGATCAGCAGCCGCAGGAAGATGCTGTTGGCGCCGCTGTACTCCATCTCTGCAAGCTTCAGCATGGCTGCACTGAGGGGACACAGGGGCAGGGGGTTTGGAGTTATGGGGAGCAAGGAGGGAGCACAGGAGGTGGGATTTGGAGTTATGGGGAACAAAGAGGGAGCACAGGGGTCAGGGGGGTTGGAGACATCAAGAACAAGGAGGGAGCAGAGGGGTCAGGGGGTTTGGAGATATCAGGAACAAAGAGGGAGCACAGGGGTCAGGGGGTTTGGAGACATCAAGAACAAGGAGGGAGCAGAGGGGTCAGGGGG